AAAAAATGTCACGAAAAAAAAACGAAAAGGGAAAAAAAAAAAAAGAAAAACGAAAAAAAAAAAAAATAGAAGGGTCGCGGGGGGGGGGGGGTAAAATAATTAATTAAAAAGGTATTTAAAAAATAATCACTTATAAATTATTAACCATAATCTTATTTGTTTTATAATTAAAACTACATATTTTTCGTCGCGATAGCGACCTCGCATCGCCCGGGTAGGATTGCTAGTTTTAAGCGGTTAAAACGAGAATCCGTTGAAAAAATCATTTATGATTTGATTATCTGTGTTTTGACTAGAAAGTTGTGCGATAAGATTCAAAGTATCCTCGTTATTTATTTGTCTGAAATATGGTTTATTTGCATTTTGTTTTCTCAATCGTCTTCTCTTATTAATAATATTTGTAAGAGTTCCACCACCAGTAGTATTTTGAAAAGGCATATTCTTGGAATGATGTGGAAAAAGCAAGATTTCATCGTTTATATATGTGTGATCGAGGAAGTTGTTCTCCGATCCTTAAAGCGACGCATTGATCTAATAGATCAAAAACGAGTTTATTTTATCCATTTTCGAATCTACTTTTGGGTTGAAATGCAATGATCAGTTTTAACCAAATCTAAATAGACCTAATTCACAGGATTTAATTGTATTAATTACCTTTTGATTAAAGCACAATAAAGCTTAAAGAAATTCTAAATCCATAATACGCATCTTTGTTGATGTGATTGTGATAAAAAAAGTTTCAGTAGCTTTGAAATATTATAGAAAAAAAACACATGATCAATGCCAAAGAAACAAAGAAATTTTTTTTTTGGGGTAGAAAAAATTTTTGAGATGTTTCTGGTGTCATGCAATTGCGTTACACAAATCGGATTATAGCGAAAAGTAACAGAAATTTCGAAAAAGTAAAACTATTTTATATACAGTAATTACTTATTTGGAGACATGAATACAATTTGAACGTGAAAATGCAATATGGTGTCGTGAGCTTATTAGGATTTATTGTCTTCTTCTATTGCTCCTTCTCTTATTTTATACATTAGAAAGGATCATTAATATATGCATTGAAAACGTTTATGTTGTTTCAATTCGAAAATAAAAACAAGTAAACCAGGAATTTCTTTTTTTTTTTTTTATTTTTCTAGTGTAGTTTGGATGTGTAAAAAAAAAAAAATTTTTTTTTGGATGTTATATATTTATTAAATAAAAAAAAAGTAAAAATATTGTATTAATGACCGTAGCTTATAAAGTATTGGGTCTAATGAGATTAAAACGTGATTTTTTTGATAACAAAAATTATTTCCAATCAAATGATAGACACATTATTATTTAAGTTACAATGTTACAATGTTACTAGTTGCACAAAATTGACAGGTGTATATTTCGTTTTTTTAAATTAGTAACCTATAAAGGAAATTTAACGCCATGATAAAGTACAATGAAATAATTTTATTTTTTTATTTTTGGTTCATTATTAAGCAAAAACGTGGCTCTACGCGGGAGGCAAGCTTGTCGATCATTTATCTCGGAATAAAGCGAAGAATCTCCGGTAAATATATAAATATATATTTCTTTCATATTTAAAAAATTAATATGATTTGGGATGGACAAATTCCTTATTATAATTTAAATATTGAAAATGCGATGCGATGTTTGAGATAATTTGCATTCATTTCCTTTCATTTTGCATCAAGATATGCAATAAATACTTACAATCGGATAACTTTAGTTCGTGAATCAAACATCTAGACAAAGACTTTATCGAAATTACCATTCTTGTGTATATTAAATATCATAATGACGTGTAAAATATTTGATATTAGGATTTGCAATTAACAAAGGAACACAAATATTATTTAACAGCGTAATGATATACCGGACCGGAAAGATCGATCTTCAACTCTGAACCGGTTAAGGATTTTTTTTTTTAGGTCGGGTTCAGACTTTATTGTACGTAAAAGAAATATGTCTATAATTATTAAAAAAATTTTGTGTGCCACGTCGATCATCGTATTGTTAAAACGTCAATATTGAATGCACGATTTAGCACTAATTTGGACTGAACAAAATCCTATTACGACATTGATTTATATTACATTATCACTTTGATCTTTGATTGAAATGGACTAACTTTGTTTAACTAAATTGTATCCTTTATTGGGAGAAACTAAAAACACAATGAAAGACGTATGATTGGACTCGAGAATCATTTATGTAATAATCATTGCATTTCTTTATATTATTCAGCAAGATTAAAGACGTGTTGTATGATTATCGTTATATAATATATAATATAGATATAAAGATATTTATCTAATCAAGATATTTCATATAATTTTTTATGTACGCAAATATAAAGAATTACGTAATTCGAAAGAAAGAAAAAAAAAATTTTTTTATTTACTTACAATTATAATTTAGGTTAACTTCTTGTGTATATCTTAATGAATCTATTCCCTTCTTTTGCATATTTTGCATATTGTCATCGTTTCCAAATGGTTAAACTCATTGTTTGGTGACTTTTAAGGATAACAATAATCACGCTGAATGAAAATGTTTTAAGTTTATATTGTGCT